GTGCGCTTCAGCCTCTACCACAGTTGCTGGAGCGCATTCGAAATTTCAAGTACCATGTTATGACATGCATTCTCAATTTTGCTCTCTCACTGCAATGAAAAAATTGAAACATTAACTTACGATTTACAGATGATAATTTATAATAATAACAAAAAAAATGTATGATAAACGTACGAACCATTTGTCTGCAACAATTACCAAGTTAATTCATAAATGTATAAAAGAATCATTTGATTCCGGCTGTGTATAGTTGTAATTTTATTTGTTTCGAACTTTTCCTGTAAAAAAAATATTAAAAAAAAACATATATTTTCAAGTATATCTATTTACGTATCTACATCTCAGGTGTAAATTTCTTAAGCTAAGTATTCGGAACAATATTCGTTTATCTACTCTAGGCTCTTGCGGGTGAATCGTTAACAAATGACTCGATCGGAGACATTCACCACTTTTTATACTTGCTAGCGTCGGTCGCACGAACACCATTTACTCAAACTCCATTAAGTTTTGTGGCGCGCAAGTGCTCACAGTCCACAGTCACTGGTGCGCGTTCAAAATTTCGTGCGCTTCAGCCTCTACCACAGTAGCTGGAGCGCATTCGAAATTTCGAGTACCATGTTATGACATGCATTCTCAATTTTGCTCTCTCACTGCAATGAAAAAATTGAAACATTAACTTACGATTTACAGATGATAATTTATAATAATAACAAAAAAAATGTATGATAAACGTACGAACCATTTGTCTGCAACAATTACCAAGTTAATTCATAAATGTATAAAAGAATCATTTGATTCCGGCTGTGTATATTTGTAATTTTATTTGTTTCGAACTTTTCCTGTAAAAAAAACCGCTGCCAATTTATTGGCAAAGAGCTTCCTCTTAAAAAATAATGTTAACAAAAGGCATCGGTTATTACACTACACTTCTATGTTAGCCAAAAGGCCGAGAAAAAAAAACTCATACAGACATTTGTTGGTAATTCAATGTAGTTTCCAAATATATAAACCAAATTGTTCTATGAGGTCTGGTTCAAAATCTCGTTTTCGAGCCTATCACAGAGCTCCCTCTACGAGGAAGCAAAAAAACAATTTTTCATTTCGAGTCGTTAATTTTGAAAATATTCGGTGAATTTCTATTTTTTTGGTCTTAAATTAAAGTTTGACGGCTCTGCTTATATTCTACCGTAAAAAAAATAAAAATTCTTTCATTTATACATGAAAAATCGAAAAAAAATTTTTTTTCAAAAAAAACCATTTTTCATCCCGATACAATGAAGCATAACTCTTTAACTACTCGGTGGATCCTAAAATAAGTTTTTGACGCTTCTTACGACACACAGATCCTTCAAAACGAGCCGAACAACTTCGCGCTGCGTGTCTCCGTTCAAAAGTTACACTGCACGGAGAAATATGTACACCAGTTAAGGGCTCTCTATACACACTCAGTCGATAAGAAGTGCGTAATTATTTTGTACCCATTTTTTTTATCCTCTGGTTAACCATGGAACTTGAAACTTCGTGGGAGTGATTATGAAACTTATAAAAATGTGCCTATGAAGCCAGTTTTCAATTAAATGACTGGTACTCTCAAACAAACTTGATTTTCTATTATCCCCCTTTCATAACCTAAAAAGTAACGCATTCTCAAACAATTAGTTAAAATGAATCCATTGAACATTTTATTGAAAACTAACTCCATAGGCACATTTTTATCAGTTTCATAATCACTTCCAGGAAGTTTCAAGTTCAACGGTTGTCTAGAGAATAAAAAAAATGGGTACAAAATAATATCGTATGTCGGTATTTGTCCCTCTGTATAGAGGAGCCTTAACGCGATGCACACCAGCACCCGACAATATGATGCGCCATCTACTCATAAAAGAGCGCCACTACATCAGAAAAAGCGGTGAGCGCCTCACGTAAATCGATGCCGCTGCTCTGCGTTTCTCAGCGCGTCCATGCTTTGCGTTTTAGCGTGCGTGCATCGCCTTTTTCGATGCACGCAGCTCGTACTACGATCAATTTATCGACATCGAGTCGTGTCAGATCTACGTAAAGTAAATATGGCCACGCGCGTACGGCTTGTTTAATCGATCGCGGCTTTTCTAACTCGCTAGCACTAGCACCACTGACGTTGGAAAAATATTTCGTATATGCAAATCGATAGATTTTTGCCTGCTCTTTCCGATGGTTACATGAATTTTCCCGAAAAATGTATTTTTCACCCGGAAAAGCGGTCTCAAAGTCAGACGTGTTTTCCACAATGTTCTTCCAAAATATTCCTTACTTATAATTTACATCGAAATGAAGAAAATCTATTCAGGAGTATTGCGTAAAAATGTCATGTTGGGGAAACCATGGACTCAAAAATGCCGAGCGCGAATGTGTCGAAAAACGTGGTTTGGTGGCCGCGCGCGGATAAGACGGGTACGACGATCATTCAGAAGACTCGCACGACGTACAGTTGTGAGGTGCGCACGCCGAAGCTTGTTTATATTATGATGTTGCACCGCGATTTCCGATGCACGCACGTGAATACGCCGCCCTGAACGCTTCACAATACGTGAAGCATACCCGCATCGTGTTTCGACGTGCTCGCCTTAAAACTTAACGCGCGCGCCCGCCCTCTCGCGTCGCCGCATCTTGTTTTGTAGTGAGAATATTTCTCCGTGCAGGTCACCGCAAAAATACGAGACTGAAATAATTTTTTTTTCATAAACGGTTCACAGGATTGAGTCACGCCCATAAGAACCAGAAATAATTTTTAATCAACTTTGGCTGGGACCCGCGGTGCCATGTTAACTTCCCAGGGTCCTTTGCAAATTTATTCAGCAATTACAAAAATGAAGTCGACAGAATTTCTGAATTTGGTACATCATCAGGAGATTAATAATTACGCTTTAATTGCGGTGACACGATCAAGTAAGTTTCACGTGAATTTTCAAAGAGCAAAACCAATAAAAAAGTGTCTGTAGCGCCCTGACGCAGAAAAGTCTTATAATAATATTCAAATGACAAGTGATTTATCATTCTAGATCGATACAGCCGATACACGTTCAATTTGGATACGATAACAGTAAAAAAGTACCGTCACCAGCAATGGTTATTCGAAATTATTTGAAAGTCGAAGCAAAATTTTACTCATAGACAATTTACAATGATTTAAAAAAACCGTATTTATGTAATCGAGCAATTTGTCAATTTTCAAAATTTGATACGTCGAGCGAAATCGCTATTGATAATTAAAACGGGCGGGCGCATCTATCGCAATTTTGCGTACACACAAATGCACCGAGGAGTAAGCTCCGCTCGACTGTTGCGATGCAGCGCCGAGCTTTGCTCGTGCATGCACGTTCGCGTTTATACATATACGTGTATGAATTATCGTTTACCACCCACTCTGCGAATGCAGCGCAAAAGAAAAGGTGCACATACAGGTGATCGCACGTATATGCAGTGTCGGAGGTGTATAAGTGGGTTTCCAAGCAACCTCTTGCCTTGCCTGTACGCCCGGCGGGGGTGCGAGTGCGCGTTCATACCCGCCGTAGCTGCTGGCACAATGGAGCGCGAGCCCTTTCGCGTACCAGCGCGCCGACTCGTGTGTTTTCCTCTTTCTTTCTCGGCAGAGCCGAGAGAAGGCGAATTTTCTGTACACAAGCCTGCGCGTGTGTTGGTGGTTGCGACCACGAACATGTCTGCTGCTGCAGCCGCGACGACTGCTTCTGGCAACATTTGTCGACAGGTACCGGTTCCGTCAACGTCGTCGCTTCTAGACAGTGGTAGTGCACCCCCGATATCATGAGTGCCCTCGCACGTGAGTATTGACCCTGCAATTTTCATTGAAAAATATTTGCTGTTTCTTTTGATTCGATCGCCGTTCGTTACTGCAATGCATTTTTTAGACATTCAGCGTACAACGTTTTGTTTCATGCTTGTGCATAATTGTCTTAACTTTAAATGATTATTATATATTTTATTAATTGAAAAATCTTACTGAGGAATGATCACGTTTGTTGTTTGTCAAAAAATTTAGAAAAAAGAGTATTAATAATTATAAAAAATTATATTTTTTATAATAAATTTACAAGTTCTAGTAAGATATGTTATTTAAAGAACGAGCTCATGCACTAAATAGTTGGAAATTTTCACGCTATCATTCACCCATGTTGTCAAACATTTTTATTAGAAAAAAATTTGTATTGATGTTTTTTAATTGACGAATTTTCATTAATTTACTAATTATATATTGTCATGGCAATTTGAATGAGGTCAACATTTTTTTTTCAAAACGCAAATCACAGTTTACTTTTTTACTCGATTATTGTTATTGCTGCAAATTAATAAATTCTTGTAATAAAATGATTTTAACGAAGACTATTACTAAAAAGATCGTTTTAAACAATAGCTGTAATTGCTTTTGCATCATTCGGGTTTCAATCATTCACTCTTTTGTAAAATAAAACCGATTAAAAAAATTGAAGGTTGTAAAAAAAAAATTTTCGTTACTTTACATTAGTTCAATTTTTTAGTTCAAACTTTACATGAAAAAAGCATTGCACTACAATTACCGATCGATCATCGTTAATTAGTTTTTTTACAAACGAGGATTTAACAAGTCATTTACATCTATGTTTAATATAATTGTTATCTCACTTAATGATAAAAATAATTGGCTTTTCACTTGTCGATATTTTCATACGACCGATTTTTTGTAGAAAGTATAGCGACAGGTACATTTCCGTATATTATCTAGGGTAAACATGAGCTGGAGCTAATTGGGTTATACGTTTCGATTTTGAACCACGAGTCGCATGAATGACGCGCGTTGCTAACAAATTTCATTCAAGTCCAGATGGCGTCAAAAATTATGCTTCCCAAAAAGCATTCAATGATTACACGAAACGTGCAGGTTTCACCGAAAATCATCGTTACATTGCACGAAAAGGTGTTCTCCGTCTTACTATCTTTTGCTACCAAGCGCAAAGTTGGAAAGCTGCCAAAGTTAAAGTTCTCTTTCAAGGAAATTCTGCAAAGTTAAAGTTCACTCGGGTTCATCAGATAGATTGGAAACTCGACGCTCTCTCTCTCTCTCTCTCTTTCTTCGGTGCACCTATTATATATGTGTACGTTTAATATACTTTCTGACTTGCCATCAGTTCACTTGGCTTGGTATTATATATGGATATGATATTGTACGAGCAGCAGCAGCAGCAGCAGCAACTGCACGAGGAGCACCTATCACACATGATACCAATAACCTATATATCCTCGAAAAGACTACGCTCGCGATGAGAAAGCAATTTTCTGTTTTGCATATATATGCATGCATATATCGTAAGTAAATTACATTGATTAGTACACATTCCTTGTGCTCTTACTGGCACACACATACATGCACACATACCTGCAAGACATGCATAAAATTGATGAGCTCCATTGTACACGAGGGTGAAAGGGGGAAAAATCGTTCATTACACATTTTCATTAAATGTAAAACATGTCTCAATTTTTTTTATTTATTCAGATACACACATACACACACACACACACACACGCGCACACACACACACACACACACACACACACACACACACACACTCAATCTTGCGCATAAATATGTGTAAGTAATCGCGATTTTGAAACAAGTATTATATAACGATTTTCAGTCATCGCCAGCCCAGAAACTCCTCTCGTGCGAGCGGCGATCGTGACACGTGAGAGAGTATGTGCATATGTACACACACGTGCCCATATGTGCATATACTACTTTCACACGTATGTACGAAGGAGAAAAGTTCGTTGCCTCGGTGCTCGCGAGCGCGTATGCACCCACACGTTACACATACGCATACACATACACTCTCACGATTTTATAAATCCAAACAGTAGCCGCAATTTTTTTACAACCTGTGAGCACGACTAATTTACATTTTCAGTATAATTACCCGGCTCGTGAAAAACGGTTTCCACCCTCCTTCTCCCCCCTTCCCTTGCGTACGCAAGAAGAAGGAAAAGGAGTCGGGGAAAATTAATTCATGCAGCAACGTTTGCTGTGCCAGAGACAGGAGAGAGAGAGAGAGAGAGAGCCTATAAATAAGCTCGAAAGAACATTAAAGAGCTTTTATTTTGTCGCTCAGAGACAAAGTGAATTCAGCACTATTCGTTTGAAAGTTCATTCGTGTGCAATGCCATTGTAAAACACTTATCTCTAGGCTGGTATAAGTATACGTTTTATGCGCATTCGCGAATCTTGAACTTGCCGTCTTTAATGTCATTTATACTATCTCTACGCGTACGTCACGAATATGTATAGGTCGAGCAAAATATCACCTATGTTACCCTGCAAAGTGCGGTGTTTTTATTTCTGACAATGACCCATAAATGCGCAAGGAAAGAAGACGAAAACGTTAATTACAAATCGTAACCGAGATTTTTCAATTTACGATGAACGGTACTAAGTACAGGGAAATATTTTTTACGACCCTTTAAGGGGCTCACTATGTATAGCGTGACAGCTGATATAGAGGCACGCGCGCGCCAGCAAATTGTTTGAAAAAGGGGAGAGGAGTAAGAGAGAGAGAGAGAGAGAGAGAGAGACAGAGTCTTCCACTTTTTGAACATAGGTAGACTTGAAATGAGAAACTAGATCATCGGGTCTGAACGCGGCCGGCGTCAAATCGTTATAAATTAGCTGGGCTTCTTTCTTTCTCTCTCTCTCTCTCTCTCTTTCCCTCGACACCCTGCATGTATGCGCGCCTTTGTGAAGGTGTGCGCGAGTTGCAAGGCACAAAGAGGAGTCGACGATTCATGCACGAATCGATTCTTTTCTCCGCTGTGTTACATATCGCTTATTCAGTGCGTGCAGACATTTTTTTGATTGACGCGACACGTCGGAAATTCGTGACGCTAAAAAATGTAGAATCGACTCTGGAATATAAAAACTTGAAGCGCTAAGTAATTGTTTTCGTTGTTTCATTTTTCATTACCATTATTACTTTTATTTTTTTCAAGAAGTAAGTAACGACGATGAAATGGTTTTAAGGAAATGACGATATTTATTTATTTATAATGCGCAAGTGATGTAACTACGAAACTAGGTCAAGTTTAAGCAAGACTGAAATCGATAAAAAATGACCATGCCATGTATGAGTAACGATTTTATACCCCGAGTCCGATAAATAACCTAAAAGTTATGATTTATCAAGTTCACAGACACTTGTAAGTCATATGCGTCGGCAGTAGTTACGGTAAAAGTGCAGTCAGACAAACGCGATACAACTCGAGAGTCAACCTTGTCGCTCGTACCAAGAACATATCGTTCGTTCGATTTGGCTATGTACCGATCTCGTGCTACGATGTATGCATGCATCGTATACAGCAAAGAGGCAGGAATCTAGGCGGGGGGGAGTGAGGCGGCACTCAAATCAGATGTAAATATACAAGCGAATAAATTAAGCCGATGCTCTAATAGAGAGGGAGGGTATTATGTAGGAGAGACAATTCATCGTGTGTCGTCGAGTCAAGGACGCCTTTAAGAATGGACTTGCGCCCGAGCTCGTGTTTTGGCGCGGTCAGCGTTGCCATGATAACAGCTGCTTCTAGCCGTGTAGCCCTCGCCTATAGATGTGTACAACGTGCACGTATGTATATCGTCTTAGCGGGTGGCCGAGTGAAGTCGAAAGTGTAATCTTTGAACGGCCACGTGCTCGAGCGCGCGGCACGCGGGACTCGTTTTCTATATACAATGTCGAGTATCGAGATCACAAAAAATTGCTCTTTTTTGCCGAGGTGGAACAGCAAAAAAAATAACAGCGCAAAACACCGAAACGACGAGCGAGGAGTAATGAGAAATCATTATGGTCGAATAAATTCGCTCCGCATTAACGATACGGTAATGTTCGCTAAGATCAGTCTGGCGACTAGCAACGATAAGCTCGAAAAATTTCGAAGAATATGTATACGTATATTAGTCGCCGCGGTCGGTATATCTACAGTAGAATCTTTTTCCGGCCAATCCCCAAGATCGCGAATTAAAATTCAAGGCCAGAAATAATACGCGTACGTAATAACGGGCAGGTGTGCTTTTTTTTTATTTCATCCATAATCTTCCGAAAATACCCCGTCGTATAAATGTGGGTCTATGCAGCACCCGTTTGTATAATAGTACTCGCGGGTTAATGGAGCTAGACATGAAATTTTACTAGACGCGGAGAGGTATAAAACGAAGGTCACACAAAGCACAACACATAAGATACCGATCGGTGTAGATATTGTGCGCGGTCCAAGAAAAAAAAAATTTTTCACTTCGATTAGGAGCACGAGTATGGGCGGTGCAAGATGATTTATAAAAGATGACGACGACGACGACGACGATGATAATGATGATGCACGTCCGATAATAAATCTTGAATAAAACATCAGTTTTCACCCGAATGCAAAGTGTGCGCCGCGCCGCGTGAAACAACCTTGAGCCGGTAATTTAAATTCGCTTTCTCTGCCTACAGGCCTACATTCGATATTTGTCTCTTTATCAGCTTAAAAAGAAAAAAAAAAATAAAACCTCACACCCTTTCGCCGTTCGTTCGTAGCCAGCCGGAGTTCGTGATCGGTGGTATTTTTCGTCGGTACCCGCGCGCGAGTCCACCGCCAGCGAGTGTGTAAAGCTTTTGAGCGAACCGAGGGATGTGTATACGCCCACACACACACACTCCTTGTCAGCTGCACTCTCACAGGCTTGCTTGCATTGAAATATCCGTAGCGATAAGGCCACGTATATACGTATATGAATGTGCCGACGAGCGATCGTTGTCCTACATCTCGGGAGAGCGAAAAAACGAAAGAAAAAAAAAGAGGAGAAAGAAAAAGAAAGATGGAGCACACGTGTATTTTGCTTTTGCTAAACAGGTCAGAGCAGTTGGCGGCCCACCTGCGAGTCCGAGTGAGAAACGTTTGGCCCGCATCTTCGACGACTACTACCGCTGCGACTGATATTTCGGGCACGACTGCGATCGAGCAATAGACGCGTACACGATGCGACGGTTCAGGCGAGGACTTCGAAGACGTCCAGGACGCTTGAGGCATCGCAGCTCTCTTCGCGGAAACTCGATCACGGTAATTTATGAGTCACGTCGCATCTAATTTTATGTTTAAAACGTGAATTTTCTTTAATGTTAGAAATGTCCAGGCCCGATGACTGGAGCAGTAGCGGCTGCTCGCAGTAGCTAAGCTCGCGGCTACCGATCGAGGGCATGGACGCTAGGGCACCGCCTATCATTGGCTCGACGAGATCAACGACGCAGGAGCAGAGATACCAGCAAAAATCCGGAGCAGGAGGAGGAAAGGCGACGAGCTTGGACGAGGGCGTGACGCTGCCGCCTTTGCCTCGCAGCTCGGGCCAGAGGACGAAATTCGCGCCGGTGCCCAACTGGCGTAGCACGGGTGGCAGCGCGGCCAACTCGGTGCCGCCCGGCATCGTCAAGCAGCAGGATCTGCAGCGACGCCGACCCTACAAGTGAGTAAAAGCTCACTAGATATCTCGCATAAAAGCGCCTATATATTCCCTCTCTCCTCGCTTATATATCTATACACAATTTCATTCGCCCCCTTATTATAAACACGCGCGCGTACTAACGCCGGTTACCATCGATATGACGATATACAGAGTCCTGGCGCTCGGAGCGACGCCGCTGATGCACGCCTGCCAGCAAGCCGATCGCGGCCGCGTACTGCGCCTGCTGCGCGACCAGGAGGAGACGATCGGCTACCGGGATCGAGGCCTCAGGAGCGCCCTGCACTACTGCATGGACGCGGGCACGGGCGGGGCCGTGGCCCAGGCGGCCCCGGAGCTCGTCAACGCGCCCGACGCCGAGGGCCACACGGCCCTGCATCTGGCCGTGATCGCCGGCGACGCCCAGCTGGTGGCGGTGCTGCTGGCCCACGGCGCCGACGTCGACGCCAAGGACCTCGAGGGACACAGCGTGCTGCACTGGGCTACCGGTGAGTCCGTGCACAGATATAATTGTTTCAGCGATGTATTTTCGTTATGATTTTCTTGGTCGCGAGAAAGCCGAGAGCTTCCGAGAAATCGCGTACTTGGAGAGGTTAGGAGGGTGTCTTTGCTGTGCTAGCTTACATTATGGAGCCGCAGGGATTGTGTTGCAGCCATGGCGTATATAAAACGCTTGCGTGCCGCTGCGTGCTTTAATAAAAAGTCGATAAATACATGGTAACAGACACTACTGTTACGAGTGTATATGAGCGCGTCCAGCATAAGTCGGCCACCCCGCGCGATTACGGCATTTTTGGCCGAAAGTGTCGTATGTTTAGCTCGCTCGGAAACGTTTACCAAGGGTCAAAAAAAAAATCCAAACCCATGGATCGATAGATTTTTTCCTCCTCTTTCTAGTGGTGTAACTCAAAAAATTCTTAAAAATTGATTTTGAGGTTAAAACTCGACTTGAATGTTTAAGTCGATTTATCCAAAAAATGTATCCTCCGATTTCAATTTAAACTGCACCAATCGAAAGAGGAGGCAAAAATCTATCGAAAACCATGTTTTCCAGGATGGAGAAATGATAAGAAGTATTAAAGATATCGAGATGAATAGCGCGGGACGGCGCGCGCGGACCTGTTTTCCGTGCGCCAGCGGCGGCACACACGCGGCGCCGTGTCTTTGTTTTTTCGACTCCCTCGTAATCGCTTAAAAAGGGCTGGAAAAATAATGTTAACACGTAAATCGATAGATTTTTTTCTCTTCTTTCTGATGGTGTTATTGAAAAAATTCCCAAAAATTTTTTTCATAGTCAAAACTTGACTTGAATTTTTAAGTCAATATTTCTTCTAGTATTCCAATTTTGACCTCAAAATTAACATTACCAATCGAAAGAAGAGGAAAAAATCTATCGATTTACATGTTTAAATTATTTTTCCAGCATTTTTTTAGCGAGTCGAAAAGACATAGGCAGGAAAAGAGGTCCACGCGCGCCGTCCCGCGCTATTCATCTCGATATCTTTAATAGTTCTTATCATTTCTCCATCCTGGAAAACATGGTTTTCGATAGATTTTTGCCTCCTCTTTCGATTGGTGCAGTTTAAATTGCAATCGGAGGATACATTTTTTGGGAAAATGGACTTAAACATTCAAGTCGAGTTTTAACCTCAAAATCAATTTTTAAGAATTTTTTGAGTTACACCACTAGAAAGAGGAGGAAAAAATCTATTGATCCATGGGTTTGGATTTTTTTTCTGACCCTTGCTAAACGTTTCCGAGCGAGCTAAACATACGACACTTTCGGCCAAAAATGCCGTAATCGCGCGGGGTGGCCGACTTATGCTGGACGCGCTCATATATGCTCAAAGCTGTATACAACGTTAACGTTCGCTTTTACGCTTGCAATGCGTAACTCGAAGGAATTCTTTGGTTTCTAAAAATATACATTTAAATAATGGTTTGACATAATTATTTTGTGCAACAAGCGCATAAAAATCGACACCTTTCGCTCGAATGTTCGCGTTGGATTATACGACAATGTGTGTCAAGCGCGACTCGATATATGAGCCACCTTCCCCGCCAAAATGTATAAAACACGTTGCCGAATCGAGATTCAATGTTAACACCTCGTAATAACAATATTACATTATGCACGAGCTCACGATATTATAATAGAAAGATCGCATGTTCGGATGATATATAAGAGCACAAATGACTTGCCATTCATGCACATCCTACAACTTATGTACACGATCACATGTACACGCACACACACATACACACGAACAGCAGCAGACACAAATATTTGATGTATTTATTCGCACGATCATTGCGTGTACTTGGGCGCCGATTTACATTCAATCTATTTTCCATCGCTCGATAATTACACCGATCGAGAAGGGAAAAAATAGGGGCGATTAAATTTTGAAATCGGTATGCTGTACACACATACATGTAACATAAATAGATATATACGGGCCGGTTCGACCTAGATTGCTGCACGACATGTTGCGCGCTGCCGCCACCAACACGACAATTACAAGTGCACCCCTTATTACTCGTGGCAGTGCAGTGTGACAAAATTAAAAGCCATCCTCCGTCATAATCAAAATTATCGTCGTCATTCATTCGGACCATATCTAGTCTTGCGAGACCTGCCGGTGCTCGTGCGCGTGCGTATGTGTGCACGATTATCGCGATCGCTCATAATCGCCTAATGTAAGAGTCGAGAGTCGCTTCGAGGAGAGAAGGAAGTAAATCGCCCGTTTCGTGAGTTAACTCGGTCTATGTGTGCATTAGGTAAGCGTGTGGTATGCATACATGCACATGCTCGCGAATGTACACGATGACGGTAGGTCAGTGGGTCACATCAAGATGACGTAATTCCAGGACGTTCGGACTCGAGGGTGGGCTAAGACTGGACACAAGCACGCGATCTTTTATAATTTATACATATAATAATATCGTGCGCACAGCTGTATACGTCCCAGTGTGAGTGTATGCGTGTGTGTGTTTACATACGGACGTCGGGGATTCGCGAAGAGGCAGAGATTATACTCATATAAAACATAAAGCAAACGAGAGCGTGGGGATTTATAGTAATTTTATAGTAATAATTAGTAATAATTTTATAGTAGTTCCTTAAAAAAGTCATACACGTAAAACGCGCGTATCAAAGCGACCGCTATACGCACCCAATTCGTCGTGCAAGTCTGCTTTTTATGTCTAGTTCCAATAATTCCACGCGATGTTATCCACGTATATTTCCGTAATTTTTCCTTATGCCGTTTCATTTTTCTACCTGCTTATGTAGAGTGTAACGCATTCTTCACTTGCGATACACTTACGGCTATAATTCTCAACGTTTTTATCCGCCGAGCAATCTTGAAAGTCCCATTCATATATTGGCTAGCGTTAGGCACGATGTTGTGCTGGCCGCGACGACCTATTTCCATGCCATTATTGTTTATTATATACATGTACAGAAGTCGTAAAGATTTCTCGCTCGTAGATTAACTCGAGTGGGTCCTGAATTTTCCGTTATTAAGAAAAAGATTGTCACGTTAATTCAACTTGATTGCGATAGTTCATGTCTTTTTGACAGGATAAAGTACAAATTACGAATATGAACTTGCATTTTGAACAAATGTTTTGGATTACTCATACGTACATATTGGTATTACCTTATTTTATACTATCTTCAGCAAGTAATAGCAGATTTTACGATATTTTTTATAATTCATGCACTTTAATTTTGAAAAAATTATTTTTGCAGATTGCGATGTATTTAGTTGTGTACTAGAACACATTAAAATAGATTTTTATTTCACGCAGAAAGGGATTAAGGGGACACATCTGTGTTTATGCCTATAAATGCAAAACATGAAAATTGAGGATTAATATTAAATATTTTTGTTTCTTATGTTAAAATATATTTTTACATGTCGTTTTATAACAAAAAATATGCCTGTAGTTCCTTTTATTATTCAAATTCATCCAGAATGCATATCTATTGATTTGTGTTTTTTAAGTCCTTGACCGCATGATTTTGAATGCAAAATTTAATTAATTGTATTCCTTTGGGTCTCAAAAGTTTTGCTATTAAATTCTTTTCCACTTAAGTGTAGCAGAATTTCAAGGAAAGGCTTGAAAAATTTTTTCATATGAAAGTACAAAGAAAATGACAAAAATAGCTATATTAATAACGCTTATTGCTATATTTGTAGATCAGTAGATTAAAAAAATTACTAAATCAAAATTCTGCTTAATGATGCCTCTCTCTATACATGTTTATACCTTAGGGGCCTGATAAAAACTTTTATCAATACAAAAAATCGATCTCTTTCTCACATACTGCCATTACGAGTCCGATAGTATTGGAAATTATTCTAAGAAAATCGTAGTTTCCTGAGGCTTTAACAAAATTTTATTATAAGACTTTGAATTATTTTTTTTTTAATTTTATAGAAAAATATTTTATAAATATTCACTTTTTTTTCGCCATCTTTTTAAACGAAGAACCTATTTTAAATAGTAAACTTAACGAGATAGTTGATCAAATGATAATGATTTTTCATATGATTGTTATTGGCAACAGTAAATAAAATTTATCTCAAAAACCAACAAAATATTTTTTGTTAATAATATCAATTTTACCTCAAGTAAATTATCTAAATTTTATCAATCGAATTAGGTTTTATTGTTTTGATAGTTCGCTGGAATACAAGAAAATGATAAAACAATAACAAATTCATAAATTTAATAGAAAAGTGAAAATTTTACGTTAGTATTAACAGTTGCCTTTACGCCTTGAGTCCTGTGAAGATACTGTCGAGACTTCGCATGGAGACAACATATCGTGAACTGCAGGTAGTTTAATTCACGAGCACGACGCCAAGATACGAGAGAAATGGTTCGGCACGCGATCTTATGCGCTCGTAGAGTAAAGTTAAAATATATGTCAGAATGACTTACATTTTTTCTAGTACCCCGAGCTTTGAAGTTCACATTAGCAAAAGCGTGACACTTTTAAGTCTTCAAGTGAAGAGAATTATTCCTTAACCAATCTTAATCAATTGCAGTCAACTTTTTTTGAGATAATGGAAGGGTACATTTTTTAGCACCTTTCAAAGCTTTTGTTTAATTTTGAAGCCTGAGATCAGGTTTGCTGCTAAAGCCCACTGGCAAACAATGTCCTCATTCACTCGTGCAGCCACGACAAGATTGGAAGAAGTAGAAAACGAACAAAAATAACCTTTTAGACGTTTTATGTGTTTCTTTTCCTTTTCTCGTTCTTTTGGCTATGATAAAATCCCAAAAATGAACATGATTATTATTTAGGAGAGCGAAGCCATGACAACTATGATCATTCATATGAAATGGCTAAAATTGAAGTTAAAACTAACTGTTTTTTCAGAGTGTTAATTGTAAAAAGCTTGCGTCTGGGTACAACATAAATTCTACCGTTTTTCAAATGCTTGAAAAAAATGAATCATTTAAGCTTGTT